CATTTCTTCTTCTAACAGTAATTATACCCTCAATATTTGTTTCTGCCAGCTCTAAATAGGTTTTTACAGTTTTATCGTTTTATCCGATGCAATTCATTATATAATCATGGTTGCCTTTCCAAAAGAGCACTCGGCTGATGCAAGGAGTGATCTTCCTACAGAGGCTACTTAATGGCATTTTGGAAGCAACTTGGGAAAAGGATCCTTCTGAGAGATCACAAGAATGGCAGCTATTTGCAAAATGCTGAAGGTGGCCTCTGCATTGGCTAGATGCTCCTGTCAGCAGCTGCAGAAAAATAAAAAAGCAAGTGGAGCAATTTATACCTCCCACATTTGTCTGAAGGGGGAGGAAGCCAAAGACCGCTGGGATCTGGCAGGGCAGGAAGCAGCAGAATGGGACAACTTGCTGCAGCCAACTCACTACAGGCAATTCACCATGGGACAACTCACCACAGCCCATTCGCCACAGGACAATTTAACAATTCAATTATTTAAAATAAGTAAACTATTTTAATTTTTGTCAACACATTTCATTCTGTCCCTTTTTCATCCTTTAATGATTCTATTCCAACATTTCTTTGATATCAGTGTAACTCTTGCCCTGCGACGAGTTGGCTGCAGCAAATTGTCATAGACCGGGAAGCAGGCCCAAGGGCCCTCGGGCTGCAGCAACTTTGCTTGCATTGGTTGGCTGGGTGGGTGGCTGAGATGTGGGAAAGGCAGGTGAATGGGGCAGTAGCAGCGTCTCTGTAGTCAGTTGCAAGGGCGGGCAAACTTTTGTGCCAATTTTTTTATGCAGTGACATCTGTGTGTGTACGTATATGCTGCAAATCGTAACTTCAAGTACAGGCAAGTCACTTCAGTCAGCACTGTTGGAATTTCGAATGGTTGCTGAATGCCTGGTCATTAAGTTCCAGGATTATCTGGAAATCTAGGAAGTATAGGAAATTACAGAAGGCATTTTAATTAGCTTTCTGTTTTGAGGGTAGAAGAATGCAGTTGGATACAATCCATCATGAAATCACAATGGTTCATTTATTAGCATTTTATTGGCATTTCACTCACAAGCCTATATCCTTTGTCAGTGTTGCTTTTTTCATTTTAATGCAGAAGGAAGGAAAATAACATGCTCACAGTTCAGGTCTTAATTCTCATGAGGAGTAATTGTAGTGATATGGATAATGACCTATGAATAAAACCTAGCATAGCTCAGCACATTAAATATAATGAAGTTAAATTATATCTTTGACCAATATTTTACCAGATAACCAAAATTAATACCCTTTTATGTCAAACGCCATAAAAGAGAATGGAAATGATACTAAAAAAAAAGGGGGGGTGTTAAAAATGCTTTGTTCAGATTCCGGATTGTTATTTAGAAAGCCAATTGATAGATTTCAATATGTTGCCTGCCTAAGCTTTTTCTCACAAAGGTAAACTATGACCAAGAAAGTTTCAGACAGATTGAAACTTTTGTCTTTTTGAGTTTTTATTACAAAAATATATTTGAAAACATACAAAATTTCCACTGAAAATGTTCATTTTAAAACATTTATGCAATAACTTAATATTTGCCAACATAATATGATGGCACAAATTACATACCCATATACTGAACTGTTGATGCATTGTGATGACAATTTAAAAACTGCTTGAAAACCAGTAGGCACAATTCAGTCTATCCTAGGAGCATCAACAGATCAAAGATTCCACATGTATTCCAACAAGCTATCTCACCAATAACTGTGCACAGAGTCATAAACAAGTTATATTACAGTCAAGGAGATTGGGAAGAGAATACTATATACACAAGTATTTCTTCCTTAATGGCCTTTAGTGTTTTCTATTATGTCCACAGACCTAGGAAACTGAGGTCATATGTTTATTGCAATTCCTCAGTTATAGGTGCTGCACCACTGGGATATTATGCCCAATAATCTCCAAAAGTTATTAAGATAATAAAGATTGAAGCTACTCAAACTCACAATAAGCATGGAGTGCAAACTAAAGCAGTAAACCCACATATTGAATATAGTATGGATTTTAAACAAAGACATACTATTGATACAAAAGTAAACTGCAAGGGGAAGATTATTGCAATTTTTCCCCACTGAAGGTGAAGGTATTGCATCTTAACATTTTAGCAAATATGTCAAAAACTGAGGTGAAATATATATGTATATATATTGCACACTTTCCTCTTTAAGATATGCTAAAACAGCAACTAAGTAGCCAAGAAGAGATTGCTAGGTTTTTTTGTGGGTTTTTTTTTGGTTTCTTGTTATTTGTGCCAAACACTTGACATTAAATACTTTTACTGAAAGTCCCTTAATAATTATACCCTTGCTAACACATAATATTAGAACATTCTGGGAATGCAATAGACCCAAGAAAACAAACATAGGAAAAATTAAAATTTAATCAGTTTGAAATATAAGTTCCATTTCAAGACTGAAAATACAAATTGCTTTTCTGTGTCACATTGTGCCTTAGGCCTTTGCAAAATATTTAGATGCTGTAAAGTGTGTCACAAATGTATAGTTATTAGGCACAATTCAAAGACAATATCTTTACCTACAAAACAACAATCAGATCTTCAATAAGCTGCATATTTGAAAGCCACTTTAGACAAATATTAAACTTTTTTAGAAGTTGCATATAGGCAGTGTAAAAATACATGCTTAGATAGTGTATATTCATTTTAGAATATAGTCTAAAATATGAGCTACTTTCAAGAGATATTTTGCCAGGAGAAAAATTAAAATTAATAGCCTAAATTGGTTATTTAAGCATTTGTTACCGATGCATGCAGAGAACAATAAGAGAGATTATAAAGTGAAACTTTTACTAAAAATTTAGGTAATCAGGCTAAAGCTGTCCAGTGATTTCACATTTTGTAAACATCTGTGATTTTACTCTGCAGTTTAGTTTGTCAAAGCAATTCTTAAAAAGCGTTTCGTCACATAACCACAAGCAATAAGAGCACTAGTGTGATAACAGTGAATGCTGCTAACAGTGCTTTGTATTACATAATACAACCCTTCTAGCTTAAGCCTGCTATGTATAACATAAACGTGCATAGGACTCAGCATCAATGAAAAATGTTAAAAATCACTTAAGTTTTTATACTACCTTCTAATAAAAGACATTCTCTGGAGAACAGAGAATTATTTTGTGATCCTTATATATGTCCTAAAGATTGAGAATTGCCATAAACTAACTTTTGCACTGCTTTTCAAGACAAAATAGCAAATGAGAATAAAAAAGTTTTATTGGAGCAAACATACCTAGATATATCTTTGCTGTTTAATGCAATATTCCTTTTCTTATTAATTCTTGGAGACCAAGGAACTTAAAGTACATTCAATGTCAAGGAAACCTTTTTCTATATATCTTTAATATAATACTTGCATTCACTGTTATCATACTTCATATGCTTCATCACTGCAAATCTCACATTTATGGCTGAGGGTTTTTTTTTCTACAATAAATTCATGACTGCGTATTTCTTTCTTGTCAATAAAAAAACACGGTAACAAAATTCAGTTTTAATAGTCTGACAATAGCCTGTAATTATATATGGAAGAATGCTGTACTAAGCAAACTTGTTGGTATACGTATATGGGTGTGCTACAACAGATCCAGTGTACAAGCAGAGAGCGCTCTGGTTTTCTATAAAAAGTCTACGAAGCCTGAAAAGATACTTTTGAGTTTCACTATTAAAGCCTGTCAAATATGTGTCGCTATACACATATTTCCCTGAATTTTGTACATATAACCAATATAAAATACTTTGTTATTAGAAACACTTTCAAAGGCTGAAGAGGTTCTTTCAGAAGGCAGAGTTTGCTAAACATAAAAACTTCTACCTAAAATCACTCAAAATCTAAGTATACATATTGATTGGTTAAAAAAAAATCAACACACTGTTTATATCAAAAACACTGATTTGTGATGAAGTCACAATAATCAAAACGTCAATGATGAATTAGAAATGTCAACTGGATAATGATGCCATCTTCATTATCACACATTTTGAGAGTAACCAGTAAAATTTACTCCAGAACTTTGTTACAGATTCTCTTGAAACAATGGGGTTTATATAGTAGGCTATACTTTTTTTTCCCCCAGCCCTACCTTTTTTAATGGCTTCACAGAAATATACCATAATATACAGAGCGAAGACTATGCTCTTCCTCCATTTCAATCATGCTTTGAAAAATAAGCAGTGCAACTTGAATGGCTAAACTGACTACAAAATTACGTTTCACAATATAAAACAAAGACATAATTTTAAAAATGCTATCCTTTACATTGCTATTGCTTGAGTAAATTGAGTATATGTTATCACTTAAGTATTGCTAGCTACTGTAACATGCTAGAACGAAATAAATAGAAATCACAAAAGACCAATAGCAGCATATAAAACAGATCAGATTCTGACTTATTTTGGGAAGAAGTTTGATCTTTACAGCAGTATATAATGCAAGTTTAGGGAGAGTTCTTAATACTATTCCGAACAGTAAATGAACAACAACTTATCTAGAAACACTTCAACCTTTCTACAGGAAAATCTATACCAAAATTGGCATTTGACCTGGATAGGAAAAAAAATGATATTCCACTGAAATAATTTTTAAAAATGTTTTTTTAAATATATATATATATATCTCTGACAAAGCATACTGAATGTATTGTTCAAAGGAAATCATATTTCATATATTCCTAATAAAAGTAATGCATATTCTGCATACAGACAAACCAATTTATGGTTGATAGGACCCAGAGGTCATCCTGTTACTATGTTAAGGCTAAAAGCAGAAATGTTATACTGCATGTCCATTTCTTCATAAAGCCTTAGAAATATCCTCTTAAATTCTTCCATGGCTCCTTAAATTTGAAGCTGTTTGATCAACATCAAACTGCTGATGTTCTTCATCTAGTTATCCTGAACATTCAGGGTGTATATGGTAAAGAATTATATCAACTATTTGACACTGCTTAAAACAATACGAAAAATGTGCTGTTAAACATAAGACCGTATTTCCCATACAGAAATAAAATCCTGCTGGTAACTGGTCACAGTGAAACCACACCATTTCTTAGAACATTATTTATACAATATTTCTAAGGAACAGTATTCCTTGGAGGCTTAAAAAGACTTCACGAACTCAAAAAAAAGTTTTTAAAATATAAGAGTTGTACAGAAGAGGCATGTTTCTGAAGCAGATAGGTGGTCAGTAGGATTCAATTCATTGCAGTTATAGCTTGATGCTGTCAGTATCCTTGGTCAAGACTTGTAAATAGACTTCATGTAGAGTATTAAGAAAATTTGCATCATTCTAAGAGAGAGAAAAGAATATAATCAGGCCAATGAGATAAATACTTCATAATATAACTTGTAAATAAATACATATTTGCATTGTATGGTCTGGGAAACACATTTAATGAACAAATTGAAGAATTCAGATGGTCAAAGAAAAAAGAAACAAGAACAAAGCTTTTACCAGCAATGATACATAGCAATGCTATCAAGACTAGATTTTGAGACAGAGGCACAAGACCCTTCTTGTCAAGCTATTTTTCAAGGCGCCTGAAGGCAGGACAAGAAGCAANGGATGGAAACTAATCAAGGAGAGAAGCAACCTAGAACTAAGGAGAAACTTCCTGACAGTTAGAACAATTAACCAGTGGAACAACCTGCCTCCAGAAGTGGTGAATGCTCCAACACTGGAAGTTTTTAAGAAGAGACTGGACAGCCATTTGTCTGAAATGGTATAGGGTTTCCTGCCTGAGCAGGGGGTTGAACTAGATGACCTCCAAGGTCCCTTCCAACTTTTTATTATCATTATATTATTATTATTATTATTATTATTATTATTATTATTATTATTATTATTATTATTCAGCCAAATGAGCAGGAAAGCTTGCAAATTCAGCACAAATAGATTACATGTTTTGAAATCTTACACAATACTTGAATTGTATCAGTGTTACACTAGTAACTAGACAATAGTTTGTACAACAAATAAACAAAATCTAATGAATGAACTGAGCATGAGTTATGTAAGCACATGCAGAATATTAAATTCAATACATTTGCAGCAATAAAATATTTGCCCATCAGAATATATTTATCTGTTCAATATATCTTTTCTTCCCAATCACAGAATGATCAATTTAACATTATACAAAATTTAAAAATAAAATATGCCTGTGTATACTACAAAATATAATAGTGTGTTTATGTATATGTATATGTATATACTAATGGTAAACAGCTTTTACAAAGAACATTAGTGGGTAAGGTCTATGTAAGGGATGACAGTACGTATGCAAGACATGGTGTGATTTTATTTTGATTAGTAAATTTTCTAAGATGATGGTGGAAAAAGAAATATCAGAAAAAGAACAGTTAATTAGGATTCCTGAATCAATATTGCCTAATCAGTGATTCTCTAAAGCAGATGCATAATTGTTTTCAGTATCCTGCATACCTGATCAGAAGGCCATCTTAGATCACAATCAAGCTTTAGATCCATTTTTAGATCATAATAATCCCAAATTGTATTCTTGGATTAATGATATTTTGCAAAATTTAAAGAAATCTGAATTCTGTTAATCCTTCCCAAAATGAAGAATTTTGGTTTTTTAGATGTTCAGAAATTTTTCATTTAGATTATTTTCTGATGTTTAAAAATAAAAGAAACTACAAACATGTTTTTACATTTATATCTCTGGAGATGGATCATTTTGCACATAGTTCTGTCAAATAAATTCTGTCATATAAATATTACTGAGCTAAGCCAGGATTGCACTACAAATTCTAATAATTAAAACAATTTCCTTTATAAATATGATTACTAAGAGTTTAACAGATATTCTGGACCACAGATTACTGTTTGTACACTGATTATTGCGCAATCACACAAGCTGACTTTTTAAAGACTATCAATATTTTGATGGTATTCTTTAGTTGCTTTGTAATTAAAATTCAAAGAACACTGAATTCAGTTACATCCAGTGAAACATCTATTTAGTATTTTTTCTGTACCCTGCCATTTTTGCTGCATTATAATTAAGGTTCAACAATAAATATTCTCTGAATTATTCATATTCATAATTAGCTTTGGAAAAGATAATCTTGCACATCCTAGACTGACAAGTTGTAAGCCAAAACAGAAAATACAGAATTTTTTCTTTTTTCCCCACGAACCTTGATTATCAAAAGGAGTAGGGTTTTGATGAACAAAAAAGGTACACAACACATAAGGCAAGCAGTCTAAATCTCAATTAAAGCAATGCAAAGTATATCCTCAAAACAATAGACAGGAATCTGAAAAAAATGACTTTACTTTTATTACAATATAAAATTGCTGACAGTTCACTCTGTGTTCAGAAAATGTTTCTCCCTTCAAAGTCAGCAAGATTTTTGTTTTAACAGTGGTCGTGAAGAAAAAAAGAAACAGCAGGCTGTGCACAAACCTGGCAGCAAAATATGAGCTAACATGGAATAATTTCAGTGTTATTACTAGGGTACTGTATTTCAGTGAATTGCTATTTTTACATCTGTATACAATGTTTTTTTTTCAATATAAATTTTTTTATTATTTTTCATCATAAAAAAAAACATCACAAATGTTACACAATGCTATATGAAAAACCCCCCACCCCCCACCCCCCCGGACTTCCCAAACCTAATCCCAGGATAATATTCAGATATAAGTAAACAAATATTAGTATCTCTAACTCCACAAAGTATATTATTCTACATGAGTAGGTAAAATATATAAAAGAAAAGAAAAAGAAAAATTTTTCTAAAAACCTAAATTATATTCCACCACTCTATGCTTCTTTTG